ACGTCTCCTTGCAGTATCAACACTAATTTGGCTGACTTTTATATTTGATCCAATTTGTAGATAGGCTGTATTTACACCATAAAGGTGCACAGCTGATATAAAGGGACTTGTAGTTTTTTAAAGATATTACTGATTTACTGAACTACCTTTCCAACTCCTCATGCAGTTGACTGTTACAGGTCTATACAGGTTCATGGTACAATGCATAAGCTTCAAATCGAGAGACTGAAACTGTATTTTCCTTTACCGTTCTGTTTTAATTTCACAATGAAGTTAATAGTCATATTATGTTTGATATTATTATGTTTTATTAACTACACCACTGGTTTNCACATAACGGCATTGTAATACACGGTTTGGCAGCATTAAATATTACACATTTGTCTAGAAGTCTTCTCATCAGGGCTCTATAAATAGAGAACTACGGCAGATGTGTAATATTTAATGCTGCCAAACCGTGTATTACAATGCCGTTATGTGATGACTTCCAAAGAGAAAAGCAAGAACACTCGGAATAATGTATTATTAAAAATATATATTTTCCCGACTTCATATCGCATAAACACCATATCCCAACATCCGGAATTATGGGTAGTTTGATGTTTTAGCCTATCAAAACCTCTGAAAAAAGAAATGTGTCTCTCAGAATTAAAAATGAAAAACCTATGGGGAAAAACACAAAAGCATTGTACACAATTTAAAACAATTAATGTTGTGTAATTAACAAGGATAGATGTTTTTTAGTGGATGAGTACTGCAGATATCACTGTTAAATCATTTGATCATTGGTTTTATTATGAAAACTTTGAGACCGGAAATACTGTTTTCACCCTGTGAGGCAGGGTTGACGCTAACTTTACATGGAAGCTGCCGCATACTGTATACACGTTCTCCTGGCGAAACCTCAAATCATCTTCATAATATCTATCAAACTAAACCTACACATCCACTGGACGTGGATTTTAAAAGTACAATATACAGTTCTCGCTAGAAATCTAATCAAAAAGCATTTTAATGGCCAAACTATCCTACAATTTAGGATTTTACAGAGAGGGTTATCTGTAACGTTTTGCAATCAACGGGAGCACTAGAAGTTGAACACTTTAAAACGTGATTATAGGACGTATTAAGCGCTTGAACAAAAGACCTATTTGGTCGTATGAGTTGGAGGACTTGTTGCTTTCTTTTCCTATTGATTTCTTATGGCCAGTGTCAGTGAATGATAGTATAGTTTAGCCATTATAATGCTATTTGATTAGATTTCTAGCAAGAAATATATTGTTTACTTTCAGACTCTACGTTCAGTGGATGTGTAGGATCTATAGATTGATAGATATTATGAAGATTATGTGTAAATACTACGTTGTCATGGTAACAATAGAGGTCAACCAGGATAAATGAAAGGTTCCTCCAATGATTCATGTTGATGCCCATTTTCTATTTAGTAATTCCAAACCGCAGTGAGACAAGGAGAAATTATGTGCTACTATATTACAGCAAAAAAGACTAAGAAGCCATTAAACCAAACGAGAAACTGGATCTTTTACATGTATGGCATTTATGTTGCTAAAATACAATTAACATTGTACATTGTATCAACCTCTTACCAATTCCAGAGGTAAAATAATCTGTACCACATTCAGAATTCAGAGGTCATACTGATCTAATCCAACAACTAATCCAACAATAGGTTTTCATCAATGTTTTAACTTTTATTCTGACCTGAGGATGTCTTTGTCCAGGCCTGGGGGGTCTGTGTGGATGGAGGCCAGGCAGCTGTTCTCCTCAGCCCGCGGGACTTTTATGGAACCGTTGCCCATGGCCAGGCATTGGCCGGCCACCATAGGAAGCCCTGAGTGTCCCGCTGTGTGTCTGAGAGGAAGGCGCTCTCTCCTTAATGCATCCTCACTGAAGTGTTCAAATGTTCTTAAAAAATTAAAATGAGTGATTCATAATTTTTTGACTGACGACAAATGTATTTTTCAGGGTGACAAAAACACTGCCACAAACAGTGCTGAACCAGCCTTTACACACTCTACTACTGTCAGGTGGACAATATTATTCATTCAAGTGTTAAAAACTTCCAACTAAGCTTCCACCTTCCACTATCTGTTGTTTATCCCCAAACAAATATCTAATCAGGTTTAAGTACCATCCAGCCTTGAATTTCTACGAATGTCTGTACACTGAACAAAAAAAATGTAATGAAGAAAGAGAAAAGTTCCATGATTTACTTACAGAGTGATTGAGGAAGGTGTTGAACATGATCCTCCTGATGCTCTGAAACACCACTCTGTGTTCAGAGTTTCATGCTGTCTAGATTCCAGTTGCGTCCTCTTCGGTTGCCGTCCATGAGCTCAATGACTTTGCCGGGAAGCTGCAGGGGTCTCCACCACTCTGGAGCTCTGCTGGTGAAGAGTGGCAGCCTCTGGTGGGCTTCTAAAGTTTCACATGTTCAGAGTGGGAAAGTGGGAGACCAATGAAATCACAATTACAATTTGTAGAGTAACTGCATAAATAATAACCTAAGAAAAATGTTTCTGGAGAGGGTAATATGAAGGAGATCAACTTGAATGCCCCCTCCCATTGATTTGATGTGATATAGAAATGAGTAAATAAATATAATCATGTTTTTCCATAATGCTTTTTGTATGATTTTTCATAAAAGTGTCTTTTTTTTCAGTGTATAAGGCAACATTTGTGTCGAGCTTAAAGGTCACCTATCATGCTATTTTTAGGCAATAGCATTGGTCTCAGATATATATAAAATATATAAAAAACATATCTTTGAAGTGTTTTGGTAAAAAAAAAAGACAGATCACCCATTCTAGCCATGCCTCATATCCCTCTATTTCTCTTCCTGTTCCAAAAGTGGTGCTGATTCTGGGTATAAACAGGACTCTCTTGAGAATGAGACCCTGTGTCTCAATGAGATTTTCACCTGTACAAATAAAGGCTAAATAACAAAATAAAGCTTTTTTTTTTCTAACTGAAAACAAAATAAAATAAGAGGGGGCGGAGCTTATGCCGGCTCATGCGGGACATGGCAGATATGTCTAAAAGGCTGCGGTGATGAAACGCAAGGATTATTAGATCAAGGATTATTTCTGAAACAGTATGGAGCTCAAAGGCTTTCTCTCTTGCCGGTTATACCACAAGCTGAGTTCATTTTTATTGCCTGCTTCTTCACACACATGCTCTCTCCAGTACAGGTTAGCTCTGAGTGTTAGCGATGCTAATGTAAACACCGACCATATTACGTCCAAAACAGTCGGGCATTGTTTCTGATATAGCCTGTCTCGCCAGGAGAACGTGTATATGTGGCAGCTTCCATGTAAAATTAGCGTCAACCCTCACTGGGTGAAAACAGTTTTTCCAGTCTCGAAGTTTTCATAATAAAACCGGATATATTCCCCTCACTGTCAAATGATTACACAGTGATATCTGCATTACTCATCCACTAAAAAACATCTGTTTATCCTTGTTAATTACACAATATTAATTTGTTTGAATTTTGTACAATGCTTTTGTGTTTTTAACCTTCGATTCGGAGAAGGAGTTTAGACACTACAGAGTTTCCGAAGACACTACACTACCCAGAATCCCCAGCTATCGTTTGGGACTACAACATCCGCCTTGCTTTACAAACCCCGTGATTAGTCCTCAAGCCCTGTGATTGGATGTTGGAGTGGCAGTGCGACAAGGTTACGAAAAGCGTCAAACAGCTCTTTGAAATGGAATGGAACCATGGCAGACTTTCCAAAACTGGACTCGGACGGGTCCAGCCCAGCCCTCCCCCCCAGAACTACACATTATGGCTATTGTGTGTTTCGCAACATTATATGGCACGTCTCTACTGGGAATTGTAGTTTTAAAAGACGTTTTCGTATTTCCCATAATTAGAAGTTACCAGTATCAAACTGTGTACACCCCTGGAGGCTTAGGGGATACGAAACACATTGGTGTTATCAAATTTAAAACATATAATTAATAAATGGGTGAAAATTGCTTGTGTCCATAATGGGCAGCATTAATATATACCCACATGACAGCTAAGGTCAGAAGAGCTTTATTTAACAGCTGGTCTTATGTCTGTGACGCCTCCTGTTGTTCTTTGATAAGCCCGAAACATGCACTTGCAAATATGGCAGTAGCCATCGATCATCTTAAGATTATATAAGATAAGATATACTTTATTGATCCCAAGTTGGGAAATGTTTTTGTTACAGCAGCATACTACTTTGTTCTACTCAACTACAATTCAGAGGTTAACCTGGTATTTATATATACTACATTTATTTTAGTTACTTTACAGATTCTGATTAATGATGTGAAATATAAACAACCCTTAAATCAGACTTTAGTTACACCTGACTCAAATTCAGGGAATGTGATTTTCAAGTGCCAAAATAAACTCTGCAATATATTGGACGTTAAGTACTTTGTCAGACTTCATATTTATCTGTGGATAACCCCAACGTTTTTTTCTTATTCAAAAGAAGACCTTAACTTAAAGTAATCTTTAATGTTTAAATAAAGCCTTATTATTTTGTCTGTTTTGCACATCCTCCTGTTAATATCTTTGGTCGTCCAGCACTAAACTGTTTTATTGTAGAGATCACTACAGTATCTTCTTGATATTTTCTATTCTATATTTCTATCATTGACCTTCTACTTTCCCCCTATTTTGTATGTAGGCTACTCTTAATATTTAAATGTTTTCATCAAATATAACTTATTCAACAACAAAATTCAATAACGTGCTTTAACCACGCGGTGCGGGTTAAAAAACCAGTGGTGTAGTTAATAAAACATAATAATATCAAACATAATATGACTATTAACTTCAGTGTGAAATTAAAACAGAACGGTAAAGAAAAATACAGTTTCAGTCTCTCGATTTGAAGCTTATGCATTGTACCATGAACCTGTATAGACCTGTAACAGTCAACTGCATGAGGAGTTGGAAAGGTAGTTCAGTAAATCAGTAATATCTTTAAAAAACTACAAGTCCCTTTCTATCAGCTGTGCACCGTTATGGTGTAAATATAACTATCTACCAATTGGATCAAATATAAAAGTCAGCCGAATTAGTGTTGATACTGCAAGGAGTCGTATTGTGTGAAAAGAAATGGAAGATGTTGTTTAATTGCTAATATATTTATGATCCACGTCACGTATTCAGTTTTGGCGGCATTTCTTCCAGTTTGTCAAAAGGTCTTCTGATCAGGGCTCTATGAATAAATAACTATGGCAGATATGTAATATTTAATGCAGCCGAACCGTGTATTACAATGCTGTTATGTGATGACTTCCAAAGATAAAAGCAAGAACACTCGGAATAAAGTATTAT